TATATATATATATTAATTGGGGAATATGCTTGGGGTTATCTTTATCATGTATACAGTAACGAGCTAGTTCACATAGTAAATAGTTTTTGCACCAATTTTTTAAGAAGTAATTTAGCGAGCCATATAGGAGTCTATTGGTTAGTGCTTCTCTGTTTGCATAACTGTGAATGAATTTAGAGGATTTTGATCTCGGTACTTTGTATGCTGTTGTAAGTAAGGAATTCTGAAGTGTTCGTAATTTATTTTTAATATGTTTAGGTGCCACGTTTATCCATGAGGAACACACATATTCGTTTACTGGACGTATGTATGTTTTGTAAAATCTGATTATATTATCAGCTGTTACTTCACAATTCCTGCCCTGTAGAATCCTAGCATAGTTCGTGCGTGGCCAAACTTTGTTTTTAATATTATTTATGTGTTTTATCCACGTTAATTTTGAAACTTCCATTTATCCTAAGAATATTGTTGATGTTATAGTCTGGAGAAGTGCTCCGTTCATATACAGTTCGTGTGGATCTTTTTTATGTTTTGTAAAAACTACTCATTTATTTTTGGGACATTTATTTTAATACGATATTTTTGGCCGTATTCGACTATTGTATTTAATTGAGGTTGTAGAATTGTGGCTGCTATTGATGGAGTGGGAGCACTTTTCTAGACTGCCACATCATCTACGAATTGTGAAGCGTAACCGTGATTCGGATCCTTTAGAGGCATATTGGTAACATGCATCATAATAAATAGAATAAGGCTAACCACCCCTCCATGAGGGACACCTGTCTTAGGAGTGCATGACTCTGAAAAGGTTCCCTCTACATTAATTCTACATTTTCTGTTTTCCAAAAAGGCTAACAGACAGCGATTATTACCGTACGGATCCTAAGACCATTGTGCCATACAGTGTCGAATGTTTTCTCAATATCGAGAAAGAGTGTGACAGTGTATTTTCGTTTCTACGATGGATTCAGTTAATCTAATTAAATGATCTGTCGTTTGCCTGAATTTTCTGAATCTATTTTGAACTTCGGGTAATTTAGTTGTTATCTCCAAAACTGCAATACTGACAGCCTATTCGGTTTGTTTTTAATTTCGCGCAAAGCTATTCGCGAGCTATCTGCACTAGCCGTCCGTAATTTAGCAGTGATAGCCTAGAGAGAAAGCAGCTGGGCTACTCTTTTACCAATGAATAGTGAGATTGTCCGTCAAATTATAACGCCCCCATGAAAGAAAAAGCGAGCATTTTCGGTGACGAAGATTCGAATATGTAAAATCGAATAAAATCATTCAGAAGTATGTTTATTTATATTACTCTAGCTGGTTGATGGAAGCTGATGTAGTTAGTTCCTTTCTAAGTGAAATTCTAACTTAGTAGGAGTTGATCTCATTTCAGCTAATACTTTACTATTATCATCTACAAAACGCAAATTTGGAAGTACAAATGGGTTTTCTGTGAAATCGTGTGCAGAGGACCGCACGATCTGATTTCGAGTTGGATTTAATTCTTGTTGAGTAATCACTCTTAGGTAATGATATTGAAAGCCCCCAGGTGGGATAGCGGTAAGCGTACGATCTTATAACGCTAAAATCCGGGGCTCGATTCCCCGCGGTGGACACAGCAGATAGCCGAATGTGGCTTTGCTCTAAAGCAAACAAAAAACAAACTAAATATTTGCTAATATTGAAGCAACGTTTTTTTTGCCGTTTTGTTTTTTTATCCGGATAATAAATTTGTTCAAACTTTTTGTTGAATATTTAATTTTTGTAAAGAAATCCAACTTTCATCTGATCTGTCATTTTCGTTTTCATCCACGCATGCTACTTTACGGGTTGGCCATAGTCATGGCCCAATGACTTGAGCACATGTTAAACTCCTTGGTTCTGTTTCAAGACGGGTCGGGTGGGTGAGCGACCTACTCCCATCTCACCGCAAACACCTCTTCACGAAACAGCCTCAACAAAGTTTTTCTCCTTCATCGGAAACCTTCCAGCGCCTGCCCTCGTACCCAACTTTTTGGACGACTCAAGGAGGTCCCCTGATTAAACAACTCTTAGAATCTGAAATTTTATTGTAATTTAAAGAATTAATTTAAATATTTTCTGACTGTAGATTAACTGGAATAGCTGTTACTGGTCTAATAACATGCACAACAAGAAACACGTGCATATCCTGAAGTATCTTTACCTGGTGAACAGCTGTTAATCCATCTTCATTGGTTGAGTCGGGGTCCACACCTGACTTCAGTAACCGCCGAACTGTGAAAGAAAGAAGTCTGGTTAAGGCCTAACAACGGATACACATGATTTTTATCCTTCTCAAAACCTTAAGAATAAGTATGCTTTCTCATACATAATTTTAATGACCCCAAAAACATAGTTTGGATTAAATATAAAATTTTGGTTTACTAGCCGTCAATTACTTATTAATGGTAGTCACCCTTAAAACTTCACATTTTCCCTGTTTGATTAAAGGTATACGTTCGCAACGTAGTTCTCTCGTTGTGTCTTTACTTACTTCAGGAGTTGTAACGTCGAAACATGTAGAGTCGTCAACTTTTTGAAGGCCGTAGATAGGCCTAAATAAAATCGTTTTAATTGTGTACCAGTTTAACGTTGAATATTGTTTATGATTTTAACTTTATACACAAGTTCCAAAATATTATAATTATCGCAGTATTAGTTTTAATACGAAGCTTCTCAGAAATATAGAAATTAATCGATAGTAACATTTGGTATGATTCTGATTTCAAACAATCAGTTTGGGACATCAATAAATTGAGCAAATATTCTTTTGACATCCATGAAAGATAAAATTAAATGTCAAGTGATATCGGAAGCATCTTCTGTCTCCATTTGACTGATAAAACTCGAGTGACATTCCAAAGAAAAAAAATGTCTGCATTTCTTGATTTTCGCTGCATAAACTTACACTTCTTACATTATTGATGTTTTCCTATCTTATCGCTACAGTAAATGTTTGCTTAAGTCACACGGAATGAAAGAACTATAAATACAAGGCAAGTAATTGAGATTGCATGTTTACGAGTGTTTTTTTAAAGAATGTGGTTATAAAAGCGATATTTACGTTTTAATTTCGTTCTACGTTAGCATTCGCTTAAATGTCCAATCAATATATTGAGGCCGAATTGGAATTTATATAACTCAAAATAATCGAAATTCAAAGTAAGCTGTTTTAAAAGTAAGGCATCAGAGAAAGTAAACAAAGTCGAAAACAACTCTATCATCTGATAATTCTACAAATTTCATGTAGTGTTCTCTCTACATTAAATAACAATTATTATCACCATCACATTCATCAGTCATAAAATTCGTAGTTTATTTTTTTCTATATTTAAAGTAATAGCCCAGACATTCATTTCTGTACATATTATGAATACAAACATAACTATTGCTATTCTCAACTATTACTTGCACTCTTTTTTAGTAAAAACTTATATAGTCAAACTGAACGCTTTATGCTTTTATCTTAATATATCAGTATCAAATATTCTTCTAGCTACAGTATTTGATTTCAAGTGGTAATAAAGCATTTCGTAATCTTTATGGCCAGGTGGTTAGGGTGCTCGTCTCGCAATACGCGGGTCGTGAGTTCGAATCCTGGTCACACCTAACAGGCTCGCCCTTTCAGCCGTGGGGGAGTTATAATGTGACAGTCAATCCCTCTATTCGTTGGTGGAC